AAAGCCAGTTTTATGAACATTAGGGTTTTCAGGGTGTTTTCACCTAATATTAAAGAATTACTATTCACTCAAAAAACATCAGAACGACAACATCGAAAAAGTCGAAAGACACATTTTTGTAAATAGCTTTTCTACAAAACAATTTTGCAGAACCTCAGGATTTTTTAAAATTTATTTCGATATCTTCTATATACACGATATAGAGTAGCTCAAATATCCTACATTCTGAAGTTTGGAAGTCGTTCTGATGTTTTTTGAGTGAATAGTAATTCTTTAATATTAGGTGAAAACACCCTGAAAACCCTAATGTTCATAAAACTGGCTTTACGGTAGATTTTTAAAACTTTCACTAAAAACAAATATTCCCACAAGGCTCAGCATGGTCGACTATCCATAGTTCATCTGTCATTAAAACTACCAAGAGTCACCGGGTGCCAGTCCTGGGACTCGTCGGAAATCCAGTACAACACCCGAACCGCAAAAAATCAAGATCTCACTTTACTCCCGTTTTGAAGAGAACACCTCGGACTATCACCCTATGAAAAGAAATCAATACATGCCTGTGTGAATTTCGGAAGTCCCAAGCTAGTTTTCTAAAGATTCTCTGAAAAAACTCTCTTCAGAAATTTTTCTGAACTCCGCTTTTGCTTACAGAAATGTGTGCTCACGTGTCTCGTTTTCAATGCTGAGAACTGCAGGTCTCGGTCATAGTCGCATCGAAAGTGTTTAGAAAATGACCAAGACGTTTGTGTTTTGGAACATATGGTAGTTGATTTTTTCTTATATAAGATGGCATGATTTGCGTTTAATACATTGGTGAAGAAAGGAAACGATAACTTGGAAACGATAAATGAACGGAGAGGGATATGACGGCCCAATTTTCAAGTTCCAATTTCGACTTTTTTCAAGACATCTTTTCTCTTACCAATTACCAGATTAATTTTTTTATTTCGTTGACTATTTTTATAGTCTTTGTTGGTGTGATTTAAACTTTCACATGCTTTTAAATTAGTTTAAACTAATAAAGAAAAGTTTAAAAATTAATTCACACAAACTGTAAAGTCCAAATTGATGTAGATTAATTTGAAATAAATTAATTTGCATCAGTTTCGATCGTCAAAATTAATTCGAATTGTCCGCTGGCGCAGAATAAATCAGACTGTTTGTATTTTCGACTTTTCTTCTCTCCTTACACTTGATTGAACTAGTCTTTGCACCAAAAGGTTTCCTGTTGAATTCTGTATAAAAAATGTGTTGACTGTTTTATTGCAAAATCTGAAGGTATAAAATATCATAAGAAATGGTGAAAAGTATTAAAATGTTGAAAAAATAAACGTATTTACAGCTTTATTAGTATTATCTGCTAAAAGTTTGGGCTAGAGGAAAGCTGACGTAGCCATCGTGTACGCCTCGAAAAGCTCTGTTTTTCATCTGTAATTTAAATCGTTTCCAGTTAGAACTGAGGACGCAAGAATTTCATTATTTTTGCCCATTTTTCAAAAAATGACGATTTTTCCCGAGTATTTTGAGCCTTCCAATGAAACGAGAGTCAAACTTGATCCGTTCAGATTGATTATTTTAATTTTGAAAACAAATGATTAGTCGCTATGATCGCAGCTCTAAGATTTCGAAAAAAACTTTGTTTTGTTCCACCACGGAAATAAAAGATAACAGCTTTTACGATTTTCGCTTGATTACTGAGAAATTAATCTTTGCGCCGAGTATTCAGACTGAAACGATTTTTACTCGAATTGAAATGTGGCGATGGATATCGTGTTCTTGGAGATGAACTATTGATGCATTTCATGAAAAATTGTCCGCATGTTAGAAGAGTAAATTTCGTTGTTTTGACAGATAAACACATTTATCACAGTTTTGGCCAAATTTGGAGAAATCATTTCGTGCTTACAGTGTATCGGATGTGACATTAGAAGAGCTCTCAAAATGCCAAAATCTCAAATCAATTCATATTCAGGACATTAATATCAGCGATAATGCGTTCATTAAATTTATTGAAAGATCTCAGAATTTGGAGAAAATCGTAATGTTTAAATGTAATTCTATCACGAATCGATCGCTCAAATATTTAATGGCGAAATTGAAAGAAATTCGAGATTTCATGCGTTTCATCCTAGGGGAAAAGGCGGCTCCGGGAGCTTTCCGGAGCTTGAGATGCTTGGCACCGGATACTCGCCGATGCTACGCGATGCTGTCCGATGCTAAGAAAGAAAAAGTCGCCTTTTCCCGCTTGGTTTCATCATCATTACGTTTCGCAGATATGAACAGTGCAGATGTAAGAGAAATACATCTAAAATATAGCTTTAGGATTGCGAATGATCACGGGAATTTCAATTTCCTACCACAATCTTTTTGAACCGCCAGTATTTCGGGATTTTCCTTTTTTCCAATTTTGGTCTAAAGTTCTATGTCGAATTTACTTAGTGCATGTGCTGGCTTGTTCAACATTGCTCTGGACTCGAGTGTTTTGAGTTGAGTGGTTTTTAATGCGATGAGAGTTGAAACAAAGTTTTCATCCAATAGGATCGATCCATGATGTCACTTCATTTTCGGATTCCCCATTGTCGAACACCTATTCTATATCATTTTCATCTAATCAAGTTGACATGAAGTTGTTGTTGCAGTGTCGCTAGTATATGGGCTGCGGACATACATACAGGCATTTTAACTCGATAATACCCTTTCCTTTACAGTCAAGGGAATACTGCAGTTTATTTTTCTTTACTCTTCATTGCTTCTTTCTCTTTCATTTCCTTGTATGACCATTTCGATGCTTTTGAGTGTTTATATTAAGGAAAATTTTTTACTTTATTTATACTTATCAAAATAATTGTTTGAGCCACATTGTTTTGGTTTGCAAGGCGTTATTGACGAACACTTTCTAATCGTTAATTTTCCAAAATCTATCTTAGCAGGGAGGGTGGGGGATGGAGACCACGTTCGAAAAAGTGTTCGTCATCGTCTTCTTTTTGTAGTTTTCTTATTTAATCTAAACGTAATATAAAGTATATACAGTCGATATTTTTTGTAGTTCATGACAAGATCTTTCAAACAAGAAAAATAAAACTTCTAACTTTTAGAACAACGGAGATATAGGGTTCGACTTTTTTTCAGGAGCTTTTGCATCACCCGTTAGATGAGCAAAGAAAAGAATGAGTGTAAAGGCTTACAAAATTTGCACAGTGCGTTGGTTCTGTTTTGAGTTAAACATGTTCCGTCGATTGCTAAAATCGCAGCTTCAGTTTTTAGTTGAACATATGCTTTATTTAAATCAGTTTTCCACGTACAATCTTTAGGAAAAGTTTCAAACATGCAAATAGTTCTTGAAAAAGTTCGAGATTATTCTGAAAGTGAACGATTTTTTTGAGTTTCTTGACCAATAAAAATTTTTGCATTTTTCTCCACGAAGAAAGGATTTAAACGGGCTAAAAAGGTAGATATTCGTGATCAGCATGATGAGATGAATTAAAATATGTGTGTTTAACTCAAAAAAATCTGCTTGATCCTTGAATTACGTGAACCTTGGAAAAAGGCTAAAGGGTATGCGATCATCACACTTATGTACCGACATAACAGATCAGTGATTTTCCTCTGACGATTTCAAGTAAATAACGTGTTTCTTTTTCACATTGTCGTACTCCTCTTTTACAAAATGAAAGTATCTTCCGGGCCAAATCAGAAATTCTTCTTCGTTCGGAAAATCAGAGAGGTGGGAGATGTTTGCACCACACTTCACATTATCATAATATTTTTTAGCAACACGATATTTCACGTTGAGATCAATGATGAGTAGAGTGTTTCCGAATTGTTCTGCTTTTTCCCGATTTCTGCTCGTCGAAGTGAACGAAGGGAACTGCAAGGTTGGTTTCATAACCTGCTGACGTTGCTCATCAGTAACAGTCAAGCCACGATACACAACTAGAACATCCGTTGTATAATTGTGAATCAAATACTCGTAGAGCAGCCAACAGAATGGTCCCAACGTTAGGACTTGGTCACGCTTGATGGTCTCAGGCGCACGAAGAACGCGATTAATCAGCTTGTACCAAAATGATTCTTTCGTATAGAGATAGATACAAGTTTTACCGATTTCTGGGGCAATTCGTGAAAATAGGTTTGCCACGACATGAGTTCCAAAATGTTTGACTGACAACAGTCGTTGAGCTAACCATTCAGCTTCACTAGTTTTACCGAGCGTTGTGCCTTCTGTTATGATTCCTGCGGCTGCCGATTCGACAACGTTCGCAATAGTCTTAGGCGTGTTCTTCAGCTCTAGTTCATGGTAAGCGTTCCGAAACTGAGCCGATTTCAGCAAACGGTCGAGTGGATCTCTGGTTTCTGGTTGGTGACCTGGCGGCTGTGATGTAGGAGCGAGTATTATGGGCAGCCAGAATCTTTCTTCGCGCAGATGATCATTGCTTCGATCTCTGTTAAACTGAACGCGTTTTACTGGACGTTGTTTGTCAGTAGCACTTTTCTTGTACTGAATCTGGTGTTCGAAGCTAATTACATAGTCACCATCGATTTCGACTTCTGTCTTCTTCGCACTATAAGCATCCTCGATAATTTCATTTTCAATATCCGTATAATTCTGCCATTGTTCATCACCAGACCAGGAATCCGAAGCGGAATTCCAAAACCACTGAAAAGTTGGTGGATGTTTTGAAACAAAACTAGTATAATTAGAGGCAGTGGCCATCTATTTTCAGTTTTCAAAGAAGAAGTAACGTATAAGATTCTTTTGAAATTATGAATAGAGGAAATTCGTTCCGGTCTTTGTGTACATATTATTTCTTTCACAACAGCAAGTAAGTTGATTAAATCAAAAAAAAACAATCAGTTTACGGTACCAAACATGCGTCCTGTTTTCTCCGTTCTGATTATTTTTTTGATGTTTCTAGTACATGTTACATTGACAAAAGCAGAAAAAGCAGTGAGAAAGAAAATGTGCAATTACCGAACCATGGTATCACACTGATTTAATGATGTCAGAAAAATGCAGAATTACGCTTAAACAAAGAGTGCTATTGCATGAAAGCATAGCTGTGATTTTTATGCTGTAGAATAATGTTGGTTAATGTTGGTTAAATGTATAAACCTGTTACACGATTCTTTGGACTGATCAATTTTTCTGTGAGATTTCCCATGCACTGTGAATCAAACTTAGAAACTCATAATTCCTTTATCAACTGTACATGGCCGTGCTCGCCTTTCGATACTGAATACGAATAAAGACGTTTCCGAAGTTTACCGTGACGATAGAGTGGAAGAACCCACGTGTTCGATTACGCTTAAATTACGGCTGCACTGCGAACGCACTTTGAAGCGTAATTACACGTAAAGTGAGCGCAATGTCGCGTTTTGCCGCGATTGTGCCGCAATGGCTGAAAAATATGCCACATGCGAACCGAACCGTTTTTTGCCTAGTGTCAAAATGTCACTTGTTGAGGCTTCTTGCCGATCAAGTTTCGTTACTCCGAACCTTTTTTCACAATGAGTTGTAGCCTGTTTTGCAGATAATCGAAAGCACTATAAACCATAAAAGTTTGACGTTCGAGGCGCGCTTGTAGGAAACAGGAGACAGAAAATACTGACATTTTGCACTTTTGGAAACCGCGCAAAACTCAAATTTCAACAGAACCCGTAGATTAAAACTCTCATTGAAGGACACCGTCATGTGCAATTTGAGAACCTATACCGAATTTCAAAATTGCGAAGTTATGGGAAAAATACATATTCTGGAAATAAACATCTCTTTTTCTGACCTTCACCTTGTGAATTTTACTATAAATCGAAGCTTTGCTTTTTTTATTTCAAATAGCATGTAGTTATTTCTCTAGGTAGAATTTTTAAACAATTGCGGGGCAAAGGTATTTTCTGCCATCTCCCGTTGCTCCTGGACTATACTCAATACACTGACGAACTCTCTCTTAAACTATCTGTTATTTATGCAACTTGATTAAAAGGAACTATTTTCATATGTGTAAATAGTTCAACCCTTTTTTGTTGATATCTTAAGTGAACGATTAACAGAAAAATTTTACGATAGGTAAAAAGTCTGTTCTATCTACTCGGATCACTCAAATGAACAAGTGAGGGTTCGCGGCCCCCTTAAGTTATTGTTTTGCGCAACGAAAATCTTAGTTTTATTATCCTTTAATTTCTCAATCTAATCAGCCGTCCAGATACAACAATAGAAAAGAAAAAATCATTTAAGATTCATAATCACAACTGGAATCTATTAGATCACTAGAACCAAGTAATGTGGATAAATCCAGAAATAAAACAATAGTCTTCGTGAAATCTTTATCTTCACTGTGCGTTTCCAAACAGACATCTTTTTATGAGTAGGATTCATCTTTCATAGTTTCTGGTTTCGATTAGAGTCTCCCACCAACAGATTTAATTTTTTTTAATAAAAATGCATGAAATAGTTTAAGTGAAAAACACAGTTCTCAAAAAGGTGATGACTAATATTAATTCTGGTGGTACCAATATTGTAGCTCATTTATAGATACATTATAGGGGTCCCATTTCAATTTAAATTAGCTCATTTTGCTGAAAATTGATCGCTCTACAAAATATGTTATGTTATTCTAATATAATATGGTTCGGCTGCGTGATAGCTATTTTACTGAAAAAAAAAACAAGCTTCGTAAACTAAAAATTTCACATAGCTTGAATTTTTTTTACCATTAACTTATGACTTGGACCTCGTAAACCTAGACTATCTTGTTCAGTCTTTGCTACCGTTCGATTCATGTATAACTCAGAATTTTAAAATAGAGAACAAAACAAGAAAAAATTAAAATACGATAAGAGTCTATTTTTTCAATTTCTTTTGTGGGTTTTTTTGTATCCATAACTCGCTTATTTTTAGGCTCTAGGGTCTGCAAAGTTGGATTTATCATTAAAACGTTTCCATTTTTGAGCATGCTAAAGGCTTTCTCAAGAGCCACCAAACCATTTCCTAATTACTTCATCCGCAGGACGAAAGGGTTGAGCATCACTGTTTAAAACGCCTTCGCTTTGTCCACGAAAGAAATATCTCGTTGAATAGTATAAAACCACAAACTATTGAACTTATAATCAAAGAGTAAACTTATCTTACTCCGGAACAAAACATCCACATTTTGAATTATGTCTAACACACATGAAAACACATAGATGAAGCCAAAAGATACACTAGACATGTTTATTTCTTTTGCTATTCTATTTGCTGTTTGCAGCTGAATATGTAAAGAGGAAAAGATCTTCATATCTACCAGTGTGTACGAAACAAGATACCTTTTATTGAGCGGATTAGATTAACTGCTCTCCTAGGCAATAACTGGTGTTATCTTAAATCAAATCGTCTATGATGCTATTACACAATTCTATTCGACTGAATTTATTAGTCGTCAACTGATATCATCTCAGCTACTTCAGTCTGAAATACAATCAATCATCACATGGTTTCAACAACAAACTCCTAAAACATTTTGAAAAAACTTACGATTTAATAAGTGGAGTCCAAGTGAGTAATCAATTGATGTCAGCATTTTTTTTCAAAAAAAAGACGGCAATGTATTTGATAACTTTGTTTTTCTACTTCCTCATTCTCAGATAAAACCATTCCGCTTACCAACGTACTGGTGATTCAGCAGCAAAATATATATAACAGTTCGCCTCGATACGGTATTGTCTTTGCCTGATTTAGTCGTCGGATGTTCTCCGATCGATTGTCTGCTCTAGTCGTCACTTTAATGCTTCTGTTCAAACAATTGTTATACCCTTGTTCATGTCTCATGTATCTTGCTATCTGCGACATCTTTGACACGACGAGTTACCAAGTTGGTAACAGTCAAATAAGCTAGTGCGAAGAATCGTTTATCAGCTAACGATTGAACAGAGGATTCCGCATATTTCGAGTACTTTTAATCCTTCCAGGAGTCGCTATGCACATATTGATCTGTTGAAAAATTTTGTATATAAGATTCATGACAGTTTGAGAGTAGTAATGAAAATTGTCGTCCTACTATTTATTGTAGTATTCGTCTAGTAATAAATGCAATAAAGCTTGTTTAGTGAATCTGTTAGCGTCATCTATTTTAAAAATCTATTCGACACTTCTAAATATCGAATAAATTAATGATCCAGCACAAACTAAACCAAGGAATGGATTTAATGATAAAAGAGCGGTTCTTGAACCACATGAAGCAAATATTTCGTTTGCATGTTGTTTATGTAAGACTGAATCAGCATCAAAAAAAAAATTTTTTTATTTAGCACCCGTATATTCTCTTTCTTTCTCTATTCATACATTAATAAAATATCAAAAGTCTTCTGTATCATTCAAAATCGATACTATTCACCAAATCTTTGTCATTATTATTTTAAACTATATAACAATATTTCTCGTATAGTTATTATCAGCTTTGAATATACCTAATTGTAATTCAGCCTCTCTTAAACTATCAATTTCGCGTTATTTGCGTTCATTTAATTGATGAATTGAATTGATGAGTTCATTATTTGCCAAAATAATCACTATGACCATCTGTATCTATGGTATTAGCGCAAAATAGCGCAACCTTAACTGAAATTCTAGTGAGGTTTTCCAAAACCCCTCGGGTTTTGAGGTAAACTGACCTTTTCGCACTCACAAAACATTTTTATTCAAGAAATAATGTCATATTCGGAATCAGCGTGAAAAACTGAATCGAATGATGTATGAGTGAAAAATTTTCTGCCGATATATTTGGATTTTGTCAAAATCCTGCCCGCGAAATTTTTAATTGGCCTTAAAAAATGTATTTTAACAGCAGCAGCCGAGAGGCCTATAAAAAATTTTCCTGCAGGTTTTCGTGTACGCTAATTCCAAAAAGGAGCTTTACAAAGTTCCAAAAAGGTTTTTAAGAGGGTTTGCAGAGAGCGGATCTCCAGAAAACTGCTTAAAAATCATCTTTTAACTTTGAAAACCACTTTTTTAGAAATAACACACCTGAAAACCTATAAGGAAAATTTTCTGTAGAGACTCGGATTGCTTTCAGACCATGTGTCTGCCTGCTCTAGCAAAAAATGCCCACTGTGTGGAGGCTTAGCAGCCCGTCTCATGTTGGTATTTGGAATCAGCATGGTCGACTACCTAAAGTCCACTGGGTTTCGGCACGAAAGCGATTTGACAGTTAGGAACGTTCCCTCGTTAGCTTCAGTTTGTGATCAGTCCGAGCTTTCAACAACTTAAACTCCGCGAGAATTCCTGCAAATACGAAACGCTGTAAAGATAATAGTTGTCTTCGAGATATAATGGCACTAGTACATAGTGTACATTTTGTTGCTTCTAGCAAAACTCTCAAACGTTTTGATGAAAACATTGCCGAGGTCTGGTAGATGTTTCATTTTGATCACAGATGTTTGGTGTAGAAATCAGCATATTTGTAAATATATATGACTTCGATTTTGTGTGAACACGTCTCAGTTCGAGCTATCCAATGATGTGCTTAACTCAATATCCACTGTTTACGGAAATTTTGTCTCCTTCGTAGGAAGGTTTAAATTTCGGGTGTACAGATCCGAAACTAGAAGACAAAAACGATAAGACATAGTGGCAACTTCGTTTCGCTTTCTTCTGGCAGATGTGTAAGAAAATTAGCCATGTACTTAGCTGAGGAATTTAGAATACAATGAGCAACACTCAGAAAATGAGATTATTCAAAAAGGGAGAAAAAACTAAAAGACAAATGGCTCCTAACTTTTAAACAAGATTTGAAAAAATGTAAACCGTGAATTTTCGCTTGAATAGAGCTTTTTAGGCTAAGTACCTTACGAACTGATTCGAAAAACTATTTATTGATCACTCTTGCTGAACTTTTAGACTAAAGTACGGATCCATCTCTTCCATTAACAGGTAATGAAGGTATAGGTGCAAATCGTTGGTATCATACAGGCGGTCTTATTATTGTACCATATGATTTTAAATGGATGTTATTTTATGAGAGAGATACTTATATGTATGATGGTGATAAAAACAGAAAAGGTTTTCTGAATAAATTGAACATATTTAATCAAATATTTAAATTTTGGCAAGAGTCAAAACAATTATTATTGTCAACAATTGATTTATCAATGATAAAACAAGAATTTATTGAATTTATAGAATTTATAAGATATTATGGTATCTTAGCCTTTAATGCAGAACATTATGTCGAATTGGAATCAGATTATTGATCAAAAATTCTTTATTGTTTTTCATTTATAAAAGAAAATGAACATCATATATTAGAGTTATTTTTCAAATCCAAAAGTATATTTCATCAAAGTATGTTTCTTGATAAAATATTACCATCTGCAACTGTTCATGTATCACATACGTTTCGCTTAAATAAATCAAGCTTTTATATATGTGAAAAATTTATTGAGCATTTGAAATACAAGTCGTATAATAGAATAGATGATGCAATTGAATTTATTTCGGAGATGATTATTGATGATACATTCAACAACTGTGGTGTTATTATAGCAACAATGATAAATACACTATTATTATTCGTATTTAACATCAGCAACAATAAATCGTTACGAACAATAGGACAATTAATGAATTTATTGTATCTTCTTTCACTTAAATTTTCAGATTATATTTTATCACTTAAATTAATATCTAATTATATTCTAAATATTTCATCTAATTGTGAACAAGTTGTTAATGATATTATACCATATTTAATTAAAATAATAAAATATAATAAACGTAGTCATAGAGAATGGTTAGTGTCATTGTATAATTATGTTATTGATATTATAGTTAAATATATTTCGTCTATTTCGAATATAATTAAAGTTGATAAAACATGGAGATTTATATACGATAAAAAAGAAACTGATTGTAATTGTAAAGACTGTTCTAAATTAATTCAATCTATCCATAATTCAAATAAAAACCAACATTTTATTGATACAAATATTGATAGACCTCCATGAACAATAAAGAGCCATTTGAGCGAAATTATTAAAAATAAAATAAAATTACCACTCCCACTCGAATCATCTGTAGTTACTAGTAGTTACTGTAGTTACTGTTTATATAACAAAAGTAAAAGCGCCATATGACTGTTATAAAGAACAACAAGAATTTTATCAAACAACATTAAAAGGATTTATTAATGACATGAATATAACGACAAATAATAACAATAAAAGAACAGCTTCTGTCGCTCAGCTTGATGATCAATAAAAGTTTTATATACTAATTATTAAACTATTATGCGTCTGTACATATCATATAGTCAACTATTTCCTGATTAAACGTTGATTATATTATTCATACTACTAAGAGACAGTATAACACACAATATTCCATGAAAGAAAATATAGAGATAATGCATGCAATATTTTTTTTATTCATTACTATAATAGATTAAACTCGATGTAGCATGCTAGTTTTGCACATAGATGTGTCTGAAAAAATCTTGCCTCAATTTTCAAGTTAACATCTAGATATTTTTCTCATACTTGCATATATCAAAAAACATTTGTACGTGCTCACATATGCCTAAAAATAAGACGGATGACGATAAGATTGAACTAAAGGTCTTATGTTATGACTAATAAATTTATTTAATCTTACTTTCCATAGTAGTTTGAATTTTAAGGCAAGATCATCAGGGTGGTTCAGCAATTCCAGTCTAGCTGATGTCAATAGTTTGAAGAGAAAAATGAGAAAAGTCTTACATTAGTGTATTTTTGTTAAATTTTCTGTTTTTTATATATAAGTAATGAATTCGAAACAGAAGAGGTGACGGATTTTTGCACTTTCGACGGGAAAAATAAAAAGATCTTTTTCTTCGAACTTACGACAGAACGTTCCCAACTATCAAATCGCTTTCGGGCCGAAACCTAGGGGACTATAGGCAGTTGACCATGCTGATTCCGAATATCAACATGAGACGGGCTGATAGACCTCCAGAGACTGGTTTCCTAGAGAACCAGTTTTCCATAAACTCAAAAAAACCTCCGAAACTTTTCTTAATAAGTCATGTTTGTAGCCCGCGAAATTCTGATCAAAATGAAACATCTCTCAGCTCTACACGACCTTTTTTTTGCAAAGTTAAAGAATCTACAAGAAAAACCCTAAATGTTCATTGTCAGCTCAAAGATGTAAGTTAGAAAGAAAAAGGAATTTAGGGCTTTTCTTGTAGATTCTATAACTTTGCAAAGACCTATCGAATGGCGATGGTCCCGAGCGAAAAGCGATTTAACATCTAAAGAGGTTTCCGCGTTAGTCCAAAAATTGAAAAGCTGGTTGAGACTTAATTATGAGTCCAGCTTACGTAGCGGAAACATTGTATGAAGTTGTAAATGAGTAAGATCGATAGAGCATAAAATTTTCTATCTTTCTGCGTAGAAAAATTTAACCATTGAACTACAGACAATGGGCTAAAAATCAAAAGAAAAGAGACGATAAAAGCACATCGCAGTTCGACAATACAGCACCATTTAATATTTTGAATGGTGGTCAACGAGAAAAATACTATCAGAGATTCAGATAGCAGGTATTGTAGATAATTCAAATCTCTATCGATTAAGCCTAAAACAAACTGCGCAGTTTTAATTCTCTACAAAATTGATGTTGACTAAATTTTGCAGTAATGAAATTCTAAATTTCTAGAGGTCCAACACTTCGATGGAATCAAGTTCAAGCGCTGCCCATTGATTCTCAGATTGTTTTGCGAATTGTTTTCTGTATTAACGACAAAATATTGAGAAGATCAGATACTCATTTTTCGATAGTGCATCAACAGCTCTTTCAAAGATATATAATATTTTCTCGACCCAGTATCTGTTGCCGTAGCAAAAATTCTTTTATTTGATTTTGATCATAAAAATCGCTCCTTCGCAGTAGTTAACTATTTCCTAACTCTATAAAATGTTCGTTCACTGTTTTTGTGGCAGGAAGAAAGGCAAATCGTTTTTGTATAAAACTTAATATTAATGATCGTTTTTGAACTATAAACGGCTGCCTCATAATGCTTTTTCTGAAGACAGCACTAGAAGCAGAAAATCACGCTATTTTTCGAAATATGACTTTTAGAAAAATGTCATTCAACGAGTAGAAAGTAGCAAGGAAAATACCTAAGTATATGCAATCAGTAGACATTTTTAAGGCCTATCTATTGGTGAGTCGTATTTTCTGAGCCCAATATTTCTTGGGATTCTACTCAGGAACAATTCTAAAGTTCAGTTGGTTGAACCTGATTCCATCCAAGTGTTTGATCTCTAGAAATTTAGAATTTCATTACTGCAAAATTTAGTCATCATCAGTTTTGTACAGAATTAAATTGCAGATCTTTTGAAAACAGATTGAATAATCTATGTTGTATCTAGGCTGGAATATTTGAAAAACGTAAGATATTGGAAAACTTCTGTGACATCCGGTAACATCAGTCGATATAAAATATTCACGCTAATAAAAATGCGTTGTTAAAAGACTTCTAAATGATAATCGATAACGTATGCCACTACAAGAGAAACCCGAAGATAATGTTGAAATGGATTTAGAGACATGGAAAGAGAACTGAATGATATCGAAAATAGGATGAACAATACTAAAAATATTTATATTGAAAATGATGAGTTGTCGGCAATTAGTTTAATCAAAATAAACTTCTTTTCAACATAATGGACCTAACCAAACAGTAAAAATTGTCCCATTCAACAACCTCTTCAACTGGAGTATAAAAATGTGTAACTTTTAATTTTAAATAAATTTCTAAGAGCAGAAGTGCTACTATCTCTCCTATTCTGAAATCTCTTCCTTATTGAACTCGTCGTGTGTCAGCATCTGTCAACAATGGACTCGCAAGAATAGACACCATTACACAACTAAAATTACAGTGTAGTTAGGTGTTCATCGGGTTTACTCACATAAAATACCTTAGATTTATCAGTTTTTCTGAGAATGACCTCGCCTTTCCTCTGCCTCTGTTGGAGGTTTTTTATGCTTCTTGCTGCTCGTATATCGATTTTTTCTGTTTTAATTCCTTCTCCTAATTCATGATTGATTTTTTTAGTGAAGTCATTTACTAGCCATCTTCTTTTCACTTCTGGTTGCCCTGCTATTCTGTTGAATTTTTTAGTCATGGTATCATTCATTACATTCTTTTTCAAGTCGTTGTAATGCTGCATGTGACGCTTCAGAGAGCTGCGAGGCAGTTACGTGAGATCGATGAAAAGATCCTTCGGATCAAGAAGGAAAATATGGCCAAAAAGGCACGTACTCGGACCCATCAAAACGTGGTAGAGACAATGTGGCGGAATATTCTGGCCACCACCAGTGTACATATAAAAGAAGAACCTGTAGGGTTGTATTTTTGTACGAGGTAATGTATTGAAGGTAACAAAACTACTTCTTGGAAAATATCAAATGTTTTGACTAATTTTATATGTATGTAATTTCAATGTTGATACAGTATCATACTCCACCACCCTCGAAGGAAAAAAACAAAAAACTTTTTGTTATATTATTATTTTTTGTTTTTATTATTATTATTATTGTAGATCAATATATCAGTTATGTATATATCAATTAAAATTCTTATCTTTTCTGTAAGTGAAGTGTCTTGTTTTTTTGTTTTCTTACTAAATATATTGTGAGATCTTCCGATCTCATCAATGTCACCTTGAAATGCATTACTTCTATCATCCCTTTTGTTCGTTGCAATAGTATGCGTGGTAGATTTGTCCTTGCAAGACAGGGTCGTTTTCCTTCGAGGGTGGTGGAGTATGATACTGTATCAACATTGAAATTACATACATATAAAATTCGTCAAAACATTTGATATTTTCCAAGAAGTAGTTTTGTTACCTTCAATACATTACCTCGTACA